GCTGAGACGGGCTGGTAGAAACCAGAGCTTCATGCCTCTGTTTGTTTCAGGCTGTGGGAAAATTTGGTTTGTGGAGACCACATCATTCTCTTTTTTGCTATTCCATAACTGGGGGGGGGGGGGTAACAAGAACCAACCAGTAATGTGAACACGTACAAAACCGATGGATGGACAGATTCCTCCAACCTCTTGTTTTACAGGGTATTTTAATACATGTGAAACTGTAAAAACAAGAACCTGCTGCTTTTATGTCAGTAACTCAGCTCAGACTGAGAGACCATCTAAAGGCTCCTGAAGCCTTGGCAGGTGTTCAGGATTCATCAGCTGATTAGAGTGTGACAGATCATCGAAACATTTCACTCTATTCTAATTGTCTAAGATCTTAAATGTCAACTGCTGTAAGCCATGATCATCACAGTTATAATAAAAAATGTCAGAAATATCCGGATTTGCATGGAATAACTCTGTCTCATACATTAGTTTAATCTTTTAGGTTAAATTATCACTACTCTTCTGATTGTTTAACAACAGTAAAACCATACCATTGTATTTGTATAGTACTATTTTATACACTGCATGAGAGCTGACCAAAGTGCTTCACAGGCAAACACAGCAACTAAAACACTAAAATAGGGATTAAAATAAAAACACAGCTAAGATCACAATTTGAAACACAATAAGAGATTAAAACACTACAAGCACAGTTTACACAATAAAACTGAAACTACCCCACAAGTCAGAAATTAAAAGCTAATCCATAAAAGGGGTTTTCAAGCTGCCAAAGAGGGAGCCTAAGGTAAAAAGGTCAGAAGCCCCACCGACTCATGAGTCATCAGTAATAAGTAATAGATTGTTTTAATCATGTTAGCATTAGCATGCTGTGATAAATGTGAAACTAAATCTGATCACTAAAGCCAGCAGCTCATGGCTGCAGCTGAGCTCAGTGCCTCTACTTTGCTCTTTTGTTTTCATATCTTCAACTTGATAGTGAAGGTCCTCTTTTACTCCTACTGTGCATGTTTGCATCAATCTTCAGGCATCTCAGTCTCCTACAGACGTCACAGACAGTCATACTCGCCACATAGACGCTACGGCAAAAGGATAGAAGAAACAAAGCTGTGATTTCACAACCAGTGTGCAGGTGTTTGAGCTCTGAGAGATCCTGATCCCACGGTCAGAACAGGATTCAGCAGCCCTTGCACCCTAACCCTAACCCTAACCCTTTCAACGCTTCCTGTAAACAGATTTGTTGAGGTAGGAAGACGCAGCATTCAGGGAAGTTTACAGGTTTTACCAGTGGCGGTTCTACATCGAATTACTCCCCGGGCGAGGCCCCCTTTGAGCGCCCCCCACCCCCAACCATACCCCCACCACCACCACCACACCACCCCACCTGCATGAACACACGCATGTTTTCTACAAACAGGTATGTTTTATTAGAACGACTATTGAACATTCATTTTTCTAAGCTGCACATATTTACATTAATTACTATGAAGTTGTCAGAATGTAAAGCACTATACATTATATACTGTATCAAAATATATAGAATCAAATATACAAAAACAAACAATAACTAAATATTAAGAATATATGAACATAATATATAATAAATATTCTAAATAGCAAAAATATTTCACACATAACAAACTATAAAGATAATCACTACAGCATTGCACTTAGAACAGAAAACACAAACTAAAATTAAAACCTAACCTTGATGCAACGTCATCAATAATGTTATCATATGAAATCTGCTCCCCTACTGAGTGATTGATACTAATCAGAGCCAGGTTAGTGAGCCGCCCCTGAAACATAGGTGACCTCAGGTATGACTTGATCAAGTTTTGAAAAGCTCCTCTCAGCTTGAGCCACAGTGACTGGCAGAGCAGTCCAAAAGTTGGGGTAGATCTCCAATAGATCTTTGTCATGATCCATAATATTTTAGAATGGCCTCTGAAATTGTAATTTAAACTGACATAAAAAACTGTAGACTAACAAAAATGCCAACTTTTACAGAACAAATCATGTAAAAAAATAATCAGTGCAGCCATCTGCAATAAATAAACAGGATAGTTAGTGGTGACTGGGGAGTTTTCTTCTGCTTGTAGAGTTGTTTTATTTATTATTATGTGAACATGATCAACATGTGTTTGTTGTTGTTCAGGCAGGCCACAGGCTGCAGCGAGCATTTAACAAATCCTAGTTTGAATCAGTAAAAAACGATTCAACGACTTTTTTCGAACCATTTGAATATTCGTTTCAATATTTCAGCCGTATTAGCTCTGTTAGCAATTAGTTGACCACATTTAACCGTTAAAATCCCAGTTAACTGGTTCAAAAAATTGAAAACATGCATCATGAGAGCTACATACCTTTATCTTTCTCCTCTTTTTTCTTTTTTTTCCCCCTGAATGGGGCAACTGGTGGTTTTAGCCTTTTTATGATCATCTTTTCTGTTTGGCTCCTGACTCAATAAGTGTCCTTTAGTCAGGACTGAACAATTTGACCTTGATGGGGGGGTGACCACAAAATCGTTTTGTTTTTCCTTTTTTTATTCGGCCATTTCACACAATTCAGAGAAACCTGAAAGAATGATAGGCCTGTGTTTATGATATTATGAATGAAATATGGAAGAACGTTAAGATGTGATTGACTTTAGCCATGTTAATACAGTTGATTCAGCCCCTGCACGCTCATTTCATTTGGGAAAGACGCAGAGGTGAATTCCCCCGCCGCACCCCTCCCCTTCCTGTTCTTCATAGACACACGGAGCACGTGAACGTTCTCAGTCAGCAGGAGCGCCTGCAGCTGCAGGGGGCGCCAACTTGCTGTTTCCAATCCAGACACTGTCATATGACAGATAATAGAAAACCTCGGTGCGGCGCAGATTTCCTTTTTTTTTTTTTTTTACTCAGCGCTTGTGCGCCCCTTTTGTGTCATGAAAAAATGCCGCCCCGGGCAACTGCCCTGTCTGCCCGTGCCTAAAACCGCTACTGGGTTTTACTGCCAAAGTGTTATTATTCCTTTGAAGCATGATGGTGTGTGAATATTCAGAACTGGTCATCTCTGGAACTTTGATGATGCTTTATTGTATTTTCCTAACTTTCATTCCAGTCACATTTCATTTTCACACTCCTGTCATCACATGAAGCTGTGGGTTCGACACAAGAAGCCTTTAAATCTGAGGAATGTTCCTCATAAATCACAGATGCATTCTTCTGACTACAAAAGACCCAGTTTATCACAACCACATGTCAGTCAGTTATCCATCCATGCGCACACACACACGCACACACACACACGCACGCACGCACGCACACACACATGCAAGATCTACCACACCAGACAAGACCCAAGGTGTAGGATATGCTAAGAGGTCCCTGAGACAATCCACCACATAACTGCAGGGTGGAAGATGCTGGCAGGGAAAGCTTACATGGAACGCCACGACCGAGTGGCTGGCATCGTGTACATGAACACCTGTGCAGAGTAGGAAGCCCCAAGGTCAAAGTGGGTAACACCCCCTAAGGTGGTTGAGAACAAGAGAGCCAAGCTCCTGTGGGACTTCCAGATCCAGACTAACAAACCAACTGGGCATTGTGAAGGTGGACAAACAACAGACGACAGCTGTTGTGGTTGATGTGGCGATACCAAGTGGTGGTAATGTTGTTCTTATTTGTTTGCATGATTTACTTGTTTTTATTCTATTGAGCAAGCTTTTATTGATGGTGTGCTTTTAGTTTGTTTGGTGCAACCTTGCTTTCCGTTCTGTGTCAATCACCCCAATCATCTACACCTGTGGCAGAGTGTGGCCCGGACAACCAATCAATGAACAGATGCAGGCAGGAGGCAAAGGTGGACAGGGTTTCATTTAAAGGGAGGAACGTGGGTCCCAAAGGAGAGCCAGCTAAGAGGCAGAGATGCACCCCGGACACATGTGCCTGAACCCTTTGTTTTTTTGAGCAGTGTGTGTGTGTGTGTGTGTATTATAATAAATGACACACACCATCCAGAGTCAGAGGACTCCAGTGTTTTACTCTACAGCAGGGCCAGGGGTCTCCAGCACGCCAAAGTCACTCACCTGGAAGCAGCCATCTTGTAACTGTAATGAATGTGGAACGGCTTTTAAATTAGATGGCAAGCCGTCCCTGTTTTCTGTAATATTTAATCTCAAATACATTTTGTGGAAGTAAAATAAAAATCTGATTGTTGCACAAATCTTTCAGCAGACGTGCTCTACTGGAAACACAGACTTGCTCCGGTTGCAGCACGGATCCCCGTTTCTGGTCTCAGCAGCTGGAGCGGTGATGGAGGTTAGGGTTACACCATAGACTGTACATACAGGGTTACACACACCTGGTTTCAGAAAAACATCCTCAGTGAGATTATCTAGCATCAGTAAAGTCCTATGACACATAAAATGCTGTTTATGAACACATGAGCACAGGCTTCTGGACATCTCCTGTGATTTAGTTTTAAACCTTTTCCCTCAACAGTTTCAGACGATTTTCTCTAGCAATAAAACACTTTTTAAATCTGTCGTGTGTGTGTGTGTGTGTGTGTGTGTGTCACAGCCGTCAGGGTCAGACCTGCAGATCAGTTGCGGATTTAAAGGATAAACCTACAACCTTATTTTTATATTGTCCACAAAAAATGCAGCAAAGCATCGTTTTATCTGCAGGTATTAAAGCTAAACTTTACTTTCAAGAGCAAAAAAACCCATAAAAATGATTAAATGAATTAGGAAAGCAGGAAGAAATATTATTTTCTGTTTTTATAGTTTTACTTCAGTTTGAACTATTTGGAATGAAGTTTTTCATCACATTTAGCTTGTTTTTTATTTAAAATGTCTTCAGCTTTATTCGTTTCATGAACATTTTTGTTTGGGAAAATAAACAGAACATCTTCTTGAAAGGTTTTGTATTAACTTCCATCTAAAGAACATCAAATGTTCTTTAAGAGGGCTTTCGATAGTTTTGGGAAGTTTTTGTTCATTTATGACAAAATGGCTGAACCCTGAAGAGCCGACGTGGCTGCTCAGGGCACCCTACTGAGGGTTCCCACAGCACCACGGGACGGGGATCAGCGGGGTTCGGCTGCCCCTCCCACTTCGAATCCGGCGAGCCAGCTTCTTCATCAGTCACATGGTACGGACTGCCAATGAGGCCTCGAATGTCACCGTTTACGTAAACAACACACACCTCGATAAGCGACAACACATCACTAGTTTTTAGAGCCAACGTTGCGTTTATGTTCGAGTGGAAAATGCACACAGCAGTTTCTCTCCAGATGTACTCGGCGACTAGCACACACTCAGAACCGGGAACATTCATCACTTAGACAGGCCTCCTGGGTTCTGCACCATCAAACACCTGCTGCTCCTGAGGGTGGAACCAGGGCCAGGTGGTGACCAAAACCTGCCCTTGGCTTCAGGCGAGATCTACCATTTAGCCTAACCTGTTACTGTGTGATGACATCAGCCCTCATGGTATTCTCAGATGTTTATTTCACAAACTGCAGCACTTAGAACAGCAAACACTATATACAAGGTCAAAGGTCATCCAGGATGACCGCCACTTGAGCTCTGAGAGGACAGAAACAGCCGATGGCTATAAACAGTCCCGAGATCCTCCTGTCCCTCAGATCAGAAAGATCATGTCATCGGCCACCATGACCTGGTTGTCATCCTGCATGCGAGCCAAGGCGGCGCGGACCTCCGGCTTCGTGAACCGACTCTCACGGTCCTTGTTGACGTCGTCCATCAGCTTGGACATCTTCACCGACTGAGCGTGGCTGGACTGGAACACGGTGAACAGGGACGATTTGAACTCCTTCAGCCTGGAGGGTGGAGGAGACCAGAGTGGTCATTAAGGCTGTCAGCCCTAGCAGGTGGAGATGGAAGTCCCACTCACCTCTCAGCAGACAGGTCCGCTGCTTCGGCCTGTGATGTGGCGTCCATAGGCTCCTCCTGCGGCTGCTGGTCTGGTTTCGGGGCGCCAGCCCGAACTGCAACACACACAGATGGGTGCTGATGAGAGCCGCCTCACCTCAGAGCTACGTTAGCCTTTAGCAGGTGAGGGTCATGAACCCTAACCCTCTACAGAAATCAGGTTCTGGTTATTCGTTCCGAAGCGCTGTGGAGATGTGAGGAGAGGAGGCTGATGCTTACTCTCAGGAACAGTTTGTTCTTCACTGAAGTCATACGGGCTGTAGGGCTCGCTGCTGTTAGAGCCACGGCGCCCCCTGCAGGACACAAACATGCCAGTCACTCTCCAAGCTTCTGTTTTAGAGCATAAATGTGCAACGTGAGCGAGTTTACCTCTTTCTGGTACTTCGTGACTGCTGTGTGGTGACCACCTCATCATCCTCCTTCTCCTCCTCTGAACTGGAGTCACGGTCCTGCCTGGAGCGCTTCTTCTCCTTCTCTAGAACCTGAACAGGAACGGCGACTTTAGGCTCGTCCGAGCTACGTCCAGAGGTCAGGACACAAACCAACAAACCTTCTTAAAGTAGGCAAACTGGACCAGCTCCACAGCAACCTCTGTGTCCACCAGCTCCACAGCTTTGCTCATGCGGGCCTTCGCGTGTGCCGTGGACAGACGGATCAGGGTCTCCAAGGTACGGGCCGTCACTGGAGAGGTCTGCACGAAGAGGGAACAAGGTCAGAGCAGTGTGGGTCCACTCCGTGTTCCTGTGGTTCTCCTGCTCACCCTGGCAACGTCAGAACCAAGCTGCTCCTGGCTCCTCAGTCTGGAGTACTCCTCCGCTATGTGATTGGCTGCCTCCTCCGTCAGCGTGGGCGTTATAGCCTTGGCGATGTGGATGTACTTCCTCATGAACTCCTTACTCACAATCTTATCCCTGAAACAAACTCCTGTTAGTCGTGCAAAAGCACCAGTAGAGTTTAGAAAACACGTCTGACTTCCTCACTTCTTCTTCTTGCTTCCATGCAGCAGGTTGTTGTGTTTCTCATAAACCTGCAGCTCCTCCTGCTCTTCTCCCAGGCCATCTGGGTCGTCTGTGGCCAGAACATCTACGGTCCCACCCAGAGCCATGGCTGCAGGAAATAAACGGACTCGGTGAGACGCTCCTCACGCTGCAGAACACGATCAAACACGGACGCCACTGTACCTGCTCCCTCCTGCTCACGGGGGTCTCGGTAGCGGTGCATCCTCAGGACATGGTCCGAGATTTCCCGGTCCTGCTCGGGGTCCATCTGATCCAGTACGATGAAGAGGAGGTCGAAGCGGGACAGCAGGGAGTCCTGCAGGCCGATGTTCTCCATGGGGGTTTTATACTGATCATACTGCAGGAACAGAGACCTTCATGAACACACACGTTCCCACCAACACGCCAGTCGAACCGCCCAAGATCAAAGCTGTCCCTGGAGGACGCCTGCAGCGACTTCACCAAGTTAAAAGCATTATTATGCCTCACTCCTGCGCCCACCTCATCACGAGCTGACGACCTCTAACAGCTGAAGGGTTTTGTAAACGTCTGCGCCACGCTCACTCCAACTCACCCTGCCGTAGACCGGGTTGGCAGCAGCCAGAACGGAGCAGCGGGCGTTGAGCCGGGCGTGGATTCCAGCCTTGGCGATGGTGACCCGACCCTGCTCCATCACCTCGTGGATGGCGGTGCGGTCCATGTCGGACATCTTATCGAACTCGTCAATGCACACAACGCCGCGGTCCGCCAGCACCATGGCGCCCGCCTCCAGCCGGCGCTCACCGGTCTCCTGGTCAGTGGTGACTGCAGCAGTGAGACCCACGCCGGAGGAGCCCCGCCCGGTGGTGGGGATGGCTCTGGGCGCGGTCTGAAGAACGTAACGCAGCAGCTGGGATTTCGCCACCGACGGGTCACCTGGAAAACCACACACACCGGATGTGAGACAAAATCCCAGAGTGGACACGAACCGCTCTACAGGTCTCCGTTTACCGATGAGCAGGATGTTGATGTCTCCTCTGATGCGGGTACCATTCTCCAGAACCTTCTCCACCCCGCCCAGCAGCATGCACAGGATGGCCTTCTTGATGTAGTCGTGTCCGTGGATGCTGGGTGCCAGCGAATGGGCCAGCCGGTCAAACACGTTCTACAGAAACAGTCACCGTTAAAACACACACACACACACACACACACACACACACACTCACAATGGAGCGAGTCCGGCAGAAGTTCCTGATCTTGGCCACGTCGTCGGCAGAGAAGGACGGGGAGACCTCCTTGCTCATTTGTTTGACCTGACAGGCGATCATGATGGTCCTGCAGAAACAGGGGAGTTTGGAGTTTTACCTTTTCTCCTTTAGCTCTGGATCCAAACCACCAACAGATGTCTGAAGGACATCACATCAAACCTGAACGTGCCGGAGGTGAACCCTCCCTTCTTCCCAGGCAGGCAACGGTATGTCCCCACGACCTGGACTCGGTCTCCTGGTTTGACGGAATCCACCAAGTCGTTGTCCAGAACGATGTCCACAGAGCGGGGCAGCTGACCGGCTGGAGCCTTCTCCGGCATCTCCTGCACCGTGATGGTCTGGTGGTCCTTGTAGATGGACAGACCAAACTCCGTCTCCAGGGGGTTGTTCTCCTCATCCTAAAGCAGCGGAACCGATGACGGTTAGCCATCTTCAGTCACACACAACCTTTACCATCTGAGCTAGCAAACACCCACCTTGGTTGGGTAAATGGCACTGGAAGGGAAGGCATCCAGAGAGGTCAGGTCGGTGTACACCCTCTCCATGGTTTTCTTGGTGGCTGGACAGTAGTGGACACTGCGCACCACTTTGGGACGCACAAGAGAACCTACAGGAAAAGACCGGAAGGTTAGATGAAACCCAGAGCCAGCAGGCAGCTACAAATCCTAAACTCACACTTGGTGACGATGCCCTCCACACACACCACGCTGCCCAGCAGTCGCGAGGTCAGCGTCCGGGGGGACACGTGCTTGGAGCCGAAGCTGCCCTCCAGCCCGATAAAGAACTCCTCGTGCTGCTTGGCGTAGGTGGCGTCCACCGTGGCCACCACGTCCTTCAGAGCCCGCTGGAAGGCCAGCAGCTCCTCAAACGCACTGTTCAGCAACCTGGGAGGCAAAAACCAGCTGTGATGGCGGGACACGTGATCTGAGGAACCGCCTCTTATCCACCATTTCTGTTCAGTACTGCCTTTTTGGAGCATTTATCCTCTAAAAGTTACATCTCGCTAAACAGAAGGAGCAGTTAGCTGTGTCTGCTGGAGACATCTTTACACTCATGGATGATGGAGGGGAACCTCAGGAGCTCCAGACCCAAAGGGGACAGCGAGTGTGACTAACTTTGCGGCCCGGGTCTCGTTGCGCCTCCTCAGGTCGTTGATGTTGACGATGAGCCGGGCTTTGTTGTCTCCGATCATGTCGCGGACTTTGCTCTGGTAGATGCCCTGGTCCTGCTGCAGGTCGGACAACAACACGGAGGCTGTTAAAAACGCATTCCTGACACAAGTCTGACCACGACGGCGGCCTTTGTTGTTCTCTCCTTACAGGAACACATCAAAGGACAAAAGGTGACTTACGTCGTCGTCCAGGAAGTCCACATAGTCCCTCTGCGCCTCCCTCATCTCCCGGTCGTCCACCATGTCGGTCGCCATTATTTCTGATCAACTTTTCTCGGTGATGAAACTGAAAACGGGAAACAAAACGCTGCCGCCACCGTCACACCTCACGACTGAAGACTTTTCGCGCCACTGCGGTCTGCGTCACAGTACAGCGTGCCCTACGATTGGTCAACCCGTCACGTGGTCTTTTGCATACTCGGCGGGTAAACTCACGCAATAATCACGTGACACGTAACCCCCTCCCCCAGCATGCTTTGCGCGCCGGCCGTGGATTTTCAACAGGAAGCGGAAGTGGGGAGAGCTACGAAGTTTTAAACGTGAGTTTGTTAAAAACCAGCCGTAGAAACCTAAAAAACTTAAAGCGGTTCTGTTTATAGACATTTGTCGTTTGTATGTTTGTTCTTTAAATTACATTTTAGGCAGAAATCAGCCAGAACGACTTTGTTTCGCAGGTCCCAGTTATTCCTGTGTGTGTGTGTGTGTGTGTGTGTGTGTGTGTGTGTGTGTGTGTGTGTGTGTGTGTGTGTGTGTGTGTGTGTGTGTGTGTGTGTGTGTGTGTGTGTGTGTGTTGAATTGTCATTTGTTTTAAGGACAACGGCGCAAAGAAGCGTTTTCTGTTCACACACACACACACACACACACACACACACACACACACACACGTTCTTCTGTGAAAAGTAGTTTTACATTCAGGGATTTACACAGCTGACACGTTTTAATGAAGTAAAAAGTGTTTGTGTGCAGAATAAAAGTTTTATCTTCTCATGTGGATAAATGTAAAAGTGTGTTTATTGCCTTTTTGTCACCTGTGGTCTGATTTTCTCTGTAGGACTGCAGGTGTCCAGGGTCAGGAGAGGCTTTACCTGGTGCAGCTGCCAGCCTGGCCAGAGGGAGAAAGCAGCCAGGATCACCCAGCTCTGGTGATGGCCGGACACCGCCCCCCCCTCCTCCTCCCTTCCAGGCTGCTGAGGAGCACAGCTGAGCTGAGTCCTCCTGATGAGCCACACCTGGATAAAAGAGCTGTGCCTTCAGAGTCTGGGAGGCAGCAGTGCAGGAGTTCTGCTGTTCTCCATTCGTTTTGTTTTAGTTCGTTCGTTCGTTCGTTCGTTCGTTCGTTCGTTCTGTATGAGTTTAACTTTTATAGTTTAAACTCTTGAGTGATCCTGTGGGATCTTGTGTTCGTTGGTTTTTAAGGTTAACTTTGTTTGTTGCAATTTTATTGACATGGTTTTTAAATACCTTTGTTTGGTAAAACTTAAGTTTTAACCAGGTGTTTAAGTCAGTAAATTGTTTTATATCAACTTCGCGGTGCTTTTAGAACACCTTCTTGCGGTGAAGCTTTTAACAAATTTTTAACCAGGTGTTTTTTATAGTTGATAATTTGTCGTTTAATATTAACCTTTTTGAAAGTTTGAGTGTGTTGCATTATTTTTATAATGCCCGTCGTATGCTTGCTTGTGTTTTAGAACCTTTGTATAACAATAAAACCCTTTTAATATCCACTGTCCAGTTCTTATGTGATCCCCATTCTTCACATTTTACCATCTCATGTCGGGGACGCAACACTTACCTGTTGGTCCTCCTGGGAGACAGGCCTTCTACTGTCATCATGTTAATGTTATTTAGCTGTTTGTATTTGTTTTAGTAAATGTGTTCAAATACTGATAACTTTCTGTTCATTGGTTTTATCACCAGTTTTATTAATACAGATGTTTTTGAACATGTTACATGAACAGAAAATGAAAAGATGGTAAGGAGACAAGATTATAATAGGTTTAACTTATTTACAGATCAAAACCAGTATTGACGACCGGGTGTCGTCAGTTGATCCCAGCCTTACAGCCCCACCCTCAGCTCCACCTCTCTTCCCTTTTATGGAATTGTCTGGGCTTGACGGAACCTGTGACACGGTCAAAATGGCGGTGGTGGCCACCTCCCATTTTAGTACAAAAACGTGATATTGGAGCCTATGGAAAGGAGATGTCCAGTATATTTATGCCGATGATTTCAACCCATTTTCTAAAGTGCAGCATTATGTTAAATGCACTGGGTTTTACCCTATTACATTTAAATTTCATGGTTAAACAGTACATGTTAAAATCTAAGCTCAGCTCGGCAGTGACCTAAAATATATAAATATAATTTTACTTACTGAAAAAAATGAAGTGGAGACTCCTTGGACGCTCTATTAGTGCAATTAATGCCACAGCAAGTCATTTTGTCCAACAATTGCACAAATAATATCCAAACAAGAATACACACACACAGAGCCTCAAAATCCTGGAACAGTTTCCAGGCCAGACCGAGGCTCTACTGAGGCCTTTCCATGGAGCTAGCTCTGTGGTCACGTGGGTCTGATGCTCATTAATTATACAGAATTTTAGGCTTTTAATACACTTAAACAGAAGAGTGAGAAAAACATTCACCCCACTCAGAGTTGTCATGAGTGTAAACTAGATCATTTAACCTAAAACATGTTCTGGTACCAGGCTGTAAACATGTTTATTTATGCTGTCAAATTGGTATTTTTAACATGGGAGTCAATGAGGATTTGCTCACTTCTGACACCAGCCCCTAGTGGATGAGGGTGGAACTGCAATTTCTTTCATTTCCACATTTGCTTAGATTTTTGACCCGCATTGTGGGGGCTTGGTCTGAATTCAGAGCCGCTGGATTTCGGTCTTAGCGGTCTAGCAAGGACCCTAGACCGGCGAGGACCCGTACTCGTAAGCATCCTACCCGTGGATTCGACCCACCCTTCATAAAACTGGCGCAAAAACAAGCCGGAAATGGAAACAAAACACAATTTCACCCTTTGTATACAAGATGGGGCCAAAAACAGCTCGTGTTTCTGTCTGTCCAATTTAGTTAATTCCAAACCTAACCTCTTTGTTTAAAGACTAATTTCACATTAACCTGGTTATCTCTAGATGTTTTAAATTATCCACATTTATTTTCCTAAGATCCCATGTTCAAAAACCCATACAACCCGTTACTCCATATATTTCCTCTTGTAAATTACAAATGGCCTTACAACACCACACAACCTACATTAGGGGCGACGGTGGCACAGGAGTTAAGTGCTCGCCCCGTAATCAGAAGGTTGCAGGTTCGAGTCCCGCTCAGTCTGTCGCTGTTGTTGTGTCCTTGGGCAAGACACTTAACCCACGTTGCCTGCTGGTGGTGGTCGGAGGGACCGGTGGCGCCAGTGCTCGGCAGCCTCGTCTCTGTCAGTGCGCCCCAGGGCAGCTGTGGCTACATTGTAGCTCATCCCCACCAGTGTGTGTGAATGGGTGAATGACTGATTGTGTTGTAAAGCGCCTTGGGGGGTTTCAAGAACTCTAGAAGGAGTTATATCAAATACAGGCCATTTACCATTTACATTCGTGAAAACGTTTGTTAGAAGTAGTTTACATAAAACTGGAATCATTATTGTCCCTGCAGTGATTGTATAAACATTGTGTTGACAGGGTGCTGACTGCAGTTACAGTAGGACTAGGATGCTTTAGCCTTTAATGGATAATTACATGGTGGGATCTCCATGCAAGGAGAGCACTTGCTGAAGATCAGAGTGCCAAGAGTCTTGATCTGGCTCAGGACCACCAGAAATGGACCAGAAGGGAAAAACTGTTCCCGGTCTGACGAGTCTGGATTTCAGTCGGGTCATGATAGTTCTTCCTTCTTCCATGTGGTCCTGTTTATGGTTCTTGTTGCTTTTTGGTTCTCTACATTGCTCATGGAGGAGTAGGAACATTTCAGGTCCACAAAAAGAGCACAAAATCATGATCCATTTGTGAATGTGGAGTTTAGCCACAGTTACCAAAAGCTGGGAAACATACTGTCTATGCAAGACCTTCTGTTTGACACAAGCTAACATCAAATACATGAAGCTGGACATTAACTACTTTGGTATTTAGAACAACGTTCACTTTCAACCAGCATTGTTGTGTGAGCAGGAATACAACCAGCTGTTTTAGGCTGCAGTATATTTAGTGACCAGAAGATGGAAACGTGCATAAACTTGGAAACTTCAGTTTTTCCAAAGAATCATTATCATGGAGCTCTCTTGTGCTAATTCTGGTACCAGCAACAAAACAAACACTAAATAAATCCTGATGTTCCGATAAAGGTTATATTTTTGAATAACAAATGCTGCGATTTCTGTTATAACAACAGTTTAGGTCATGTCAAATTTTTTTTCTGTAGCACCTTTAAATGGCAACAGCGGTTGCCCCAAAGTGCTGACCACAGAGTAAAAATACACTAAAACAAGCTACAAATACTAAAAGCAACAATAAAATATACAAGATTACAAAAAGATTGAAAGCAATGAAAACCATAAGTTTGCCTGAAACCTGCAACCTGGAGGTTATACAACATGCCTTAAACAGGGCCAGAGCAGGCTCTTCCACAACACAGGAGCCATCACAGAAAAAGATCTTCGACCTCGATCTGCATGTCACCAGCAGATGGCGACCCAGTAGGTCAGGAAATTACTTGTCACTTAGACTCCGCCCACTCTTCCATCAGCTGAGTCTTTAACTGGTTTCCTTTCAGCTGCCTCCCAAACAAACATTTCTGTAGTTCATCATGTAGTCACTTGGGCCAGACACACAGGAAAGCTGGCTGGATTCTTCTTTTCCAGACTTGAGAGGTGCGACAGTTGTTGTTCAGAGCCAAACCAGCAGGTAAGAAGGTGTCTCCCGAGTTCCTGTGGCTGGTTCTATTTATGGTGGAGTTTAGAGTCTTGTCTTGAATCAGATCCTCCAGCAGCTCAAGCCTTCAGGTTCATTATTTGTAGTCAGTCTCATTACAGGTGTGTGTTCACCTTCTGTATTTTATAGGGTTTTAGCAGGTTGTCAGGGTGAAAACTTCCAATGTCAGGACTTTAGTGTGTCATCAAACAGAGCAGGTGAGGGTCAGGACACTCCCTTCAGAGGGCATAAAGACGCTGAAACTCTTCAGCCACATGTACTGCTGCAGTGCTTAAAATTCCTCTCTGTATTGTCACAGGAGGTGAATAAAAACGTTACTGGTTTGACCACATACCTGCCTCACCTCTGTGAGCACTGTCGAACACCTCCAGGTTTGTGTAAACACGGCGGAGGTGCATTAAAACCAGCACAGAGTTGAAACATTTCTGCAGGGTTGGCAAAAGCCTCAGGGGAAGGCTCCACACAGTGCAACCCCCCACCGCTGGGATTTAAGATCAGCAAACACACTGACATGAAACTGATGAAGTTTTTTCCTTTTAGAAATCCTGATTTTCTCTAACCTTTCTTGTGACTTCACCATAAACGTCTGTACTAATGCGCTGTCTCCCCCACAGGGTTTTCTCTGAAGCAGCAGTCATGTCTGCGGATATTTTGCAGCGACTTACCACATTGACTCTGAATGTTAAGCATCTCAGCTGGCTGCCTCGCCTCAGGGACCTCGTTGCTTCCTCCCTGCCCCTGCCCCGTCCTACCGTCACCTCCTCCCAGGTGCCTCCGTTGTTCAGAGAACCCTACATCCTGTCGGGCTACCGTCCCATCCAGCAAGACTGGGGCTGCTATTTCCTCAGCCTCTTTCAGCGACACAATGAATCCCTGAATGTGTGGACCCACCTGCTGGCAGCTCCGGTTCTGCTGCTTCGCTGGTGGGCCAATGCAGGTGCCCTGGGGTACACCTTGGACGCAGCCTCTCTACCTCTCAGCCTCTTCATGGTGTCTGCACTCACATACCTCATTCTGAGCGTGACTGCCCATCTCCTGCAGTCTCACTCTGAACGTGCACACTACTTCTTCTTCTTCTTGGATTACGTGGGCGTAGCTGTGTATCAGTATGGGTGCTCACTCGGCCATTATTTCTACACGTCTGAGCCGTCATGGAGGGAAAGCATCGGGCTGTTCTTTTTGCCTGGAGCTGCTTTTTTCGGGTGGCTCTCCTGCGTCGGATGTTGTTTTGCTAAGGTCATGTACAGACGGCCATATCCGCTGCAGCGTAAAATTTGCCAGCTGATCCCGACCAGCCTGGCATACCTGCTGGATATCAGCCCTGTAGCCCACCGCCTGGTCACTGTCTCCTGGACGCAGGATGCTTCCCTCTTCTTCCACGCTCTGCAGATAGCCTTTTTCTTGGTTGCAGCCTTCTTCTTCTCCTGCCCCGTCCCTGAGCGCTTTTTTCCAGGTTGTTGTGACTTCATGGGGCAGGGCCACCAGGTCTTCCACCTGTTCCTGTCCTTGTGCACCATGTTCCAGCTGGAGGCCCTGTTCCAGGACTATGCCCGGGGCCGTGATACAGTGGTGGAGTTATTCGGGCGGAGGCAGCTATGGTGGGCCTGTGTGTCCTTTCCTGTGCTGTTTACATGTTGCATCCTGACTGTACTTGTCACAATGAGACACATGGACAAGAAACTTAAGAGTAAACAGGAGAAAAACTATTAACAGCTGTCTGTGTGCAAAAGTGGTGCTGATTTTAAATTCATTGTAATATAAGTAATCAAATGTAAATTTTATGTATTAAACTGCTTTTATTTCAGTTAAAACTTCTTTTGTTAGTTGAACAATGAATCCTTTTTAACAGATTTTGGTTGGGAACAAATCATCAGATAATCTGTAAATCCTGCATGTTTAATCAAATAAAGCCTCCTGTTGGACCCCTTTTGTCTTCAGGCTCGAGTACGGAAGAATCCGACTCGGAAGGGTTTTATTACCACATGTGTGAGAATCACAACGTTAGAAAATTGCTGCAAAAATTGGTGCAAGAAAAAAAGAGAAAAAAAAACATAGAATTAAGAAATAAACACAACAAAATGATAATATAGGGAGACAATTAGAGAAGCAGCCACTTTATACAAGTCAGTGTAGGTACTGGTCAGAGTGGATCAGTTCAGGTGTTAACACAACACTGGGTCCAAGCAGCTGGAGTGGGCAGGTCTATGATTGTTGTTCAGGAGTTCAACAGCAGAGAGGAATAAACTGGTTTTGTGGTGAGAGGTTCTGGTCTGAATGGATCTGAGCCTCCTGCCAGATGGGAGAAAGTCACAGAGACTGTGTCCAGGGTGATACGGGTCAGCGGTGATCCGACCTGCACGCCTGAACGTCCTGGAGGTGTACAGGTCCTGTATGGAGGGGAGTTTGCAGCCAGTGACCTTCTCGACAGAGCATACCACACGCTGCTGTCTCGTCATGTCCCTGATGGTGTCTCCAGCATACCACACGGTGACTGAAGAGGTGAGGATGGACTCGATGACTGCGGTGTAGAACTGCCTCATTGATTGTTCTGATAGGTTGAGTTTTTTCAGCTGCCTCAGGAAGTTCATCCTCTGTTTGGACTCCTGGCAGTTTGAGCCTAGGGGAGGTGTGTCTCATCACCATCAACGTGTGGTATAAAGCACTTTGGAGGCTTTTTTGACTTAGATAAGTGCTTTAAATTTGCAGGTCATTTACCATGTCATAGACCCAAGGTGCTGTTGGTTCTGGTCCATCCCAACATGACAGCATCAGCTCCATCCTTGAGGAGAACCTCCTGTTCCACCACATCCTAAAGGTTATGGACTGGACTGAGATCTGGTGACTGTGGTGGCTGTTGGAGACCAGTGAACTCATGGTCATGTTTTAGAAACCAGTTAGAGATGATCTGAGCTTTGTGACACGGTGCGTGATCCTGCTGGACGTAGCATCAGATGATGGGTCCATAAAGGGATGGACATGGTCAGCAGAAACACTCAGGTAGGCTGTGGGGTTAAACCGGACACATCAGACCAGGAAAAGTGTTTCCAGTCTTGACTGGTCTAGTTCTGGACCAGTCCGGTCCTGTGGGAATCGTAGCCTCAGGTTCGTGTTGTTAGCTGACAGGAGAGACACCTGCTGTGGTCTTCTGCTGCTGGAGTCCATCTGGTGCAGCTGGTGAGGATTCGCAGACCTGAGCTGATGTTGGATTTCCAGTTTGTCCAGTATTCTCTGACCTCCACAAACTTTCAGATCAATCTACCATAGAGATGGTTGTGGGTTCAAATCCCAGAAAAGCAAGCTCTGAAATACTCAGACCAGCCCGTTTGGTACCAACTACCACGTCACAGTTTCCCTTTTCTCTAGTGTAATGCTCAGAACACCAGCAGGTTTTCCACATGAATGAGTGCATTGAGTTGCAGCCATCTGATTGGCTGATTAGATATTTGCTTTATTTGACCAAAGGAAAGAGGCTGGTGAGGGTAGATGGCACCAAACCCAATCATATTGATAAAACAAGCTAATCAGCATTGGAAATGTATACACATTTAGACAACTGCAAATCCAAAATTCACCAAAAGCATTCAAAGTCTTACGGTGATCACTAAAGTTGACTCAATGCACTCATTTAATCAATTAGTTTAATTCTGAAAACTACAAATCAGCATAGTGTACCTCTAAGTGGGAGACATGTCTGAACTAATCCAGTTATTCATCAGTTCGAGCTGGAATGTTAAAGGCTTAGCTCCACAACTGCACGTTTGTTTCCACTCAGTACGTAAACCAAACAAAACACGAGTTCAAGAAGTCTTTTTACCGTAACTCTTGCATGAAAACTGGATTCATAAAACCAGTAAACCTTCAAAGGATTCCTGTTGGACAACAGCCCTTTGGTTACGGCCATTTCGTCTGAATTTTAAAAACTTTATGTGCAAGTGAAGATATATATATATATATATATATATATATATATATATATATATATATAATAGCACAACATTTGTTAAACTGACTGGGATGTAGCCTTTTTTCTTTTGTTTTCCAAGTTTGATCAGCTGCAGAGGCCATCTTGAATCAGGTTGACTCCAACAGTTAGTCAGCTGTAGACAAACATCTAGTTTTGCCATCCAATGGCCAACAGTTTAAAGTCCCATTAGTTGTCACACACACTGGTGTGTGTGCGAAATTTGTTCTCCGCATTTGACCCATCCCCTGGGGGAGCGGTGAGCTGCAGACACGGCTGCGCTCGGGAACCATTTGGTGGTTTAACCCCCCAATCCAACCCTTAATGCTGAGTGTCAAGCAGGGAGGCATTGGGTCCCATTTTTTCAAAGTCTTTGGTGTGACCCGACCAGGAATCGAACCCTAATCTCCCAGTCTCAGGGAGGACACTCTACCACTAGGCCACTGAGCTGGTTTCTGTCTGAGTTTGTGGTGAAATGACTAAAATGTGAGATATCTTTCTGGTCCAGGCACTCTGAAGAGGCACAGGGAGGTGGTGTGAAGGAAATACTCAGGGAAAACTGGGAAATATTCCCAGCATTATGGCTGGGCCTGACCTGCAGCTGGTAGAAACTACTTCATTATACATGACACATGCCTGGAAAGCATGAATGAGAAAACACAAAAAGACTTGCTAAATAACACGCTGACCCTGTTCACCCACACTGAGCACAATGCTAATCTTTACCTGTGGTTTTACCTGTTCGTAGCAAAGTGATCATTACAGTTCTGATGACGTGGCCACACCTTTAGTTGTGGACTGGTTTTAGTATCGGTGCAGTAGAACTGCAGCCTCTCTGACATCACTATGTCAGCATGTTTTAATGTGTTGTTTCCTCTTTTTTTGAATTCTGTTTCTGAAGATCTCATGTACCCAGATCTGATGTTCTGGGGTTCAGATGCAGAAGCTTTAAACTGTCTTTTACCATTGTGAGAGTTACAAATATCAAACAGGGCAGTTGGTAGCACTGTTGCCTTACAGCAAGAAGGTTGAAGGTTTGAATCCCAGCTCAGGCCTTTCTCTTCATGCATGCAAATGGTTTCTCTGGGAACTCCGGTTCCATTCCAGAGACCAGAAACATGCATGTCAGGTAAATTGGAGACTCTACGAGTGTGTGGCTGCTTGTTTGTCCCTGTAGTGTTAGACATGTCCAGGGCATGTCCTACACACAGAACACCTGCAGTGTGTGGGGCCCCATGATCCAAAGGGGGACCCATAATGTGCCATTCTCTGCAAATGTCCAAAAATGCACAGAGCTTTTGTGAAACAAGGGTCGAGCACCAAGTCAGTCAAAGACAGGAGAGAGAAAAAAGACAAGTACACCATATGCATACCCCCAATGACTGACAGCACGCAGCATCTGGCCAACCAGTGGTCAACAGGCACGTTGATCTACAAAGTCCAAACAAAATTATCAGGAGTCAGGAGCAAACAAAAAAAACTGTGTTTTCATGACTTGTATTGACTGGATTAGAAGGTGGCCGTGATAAATCTCCTCGTCTCCAGGAGCGACAGAGAGAACATTGATTTACCTTTTCAGCCGCAGACAAACACGAGTCACAGCTCTGAAGAGAGGAGTAGCCTGGATGTCTGTAGACCATTATGACCAGATGGGGTGGAGCGGGCATGGGTGTAAATCCTGAAAATTAGGGTGGAAGGTTTAATCCATCCATCCATCCATCCATCCATCCATCCATCCATCCATCCATCCATCCATCCATCCATCCATCCATCCATCCATCCATCCATCCATCCATCCATGTTAATCCGCTTATCCAGAGTCAGGTCGCGGGGGAGATATCCTAAGGCAAGAGGCCCAGACTTCCCTCTCCTGAGCAACTTGGGCCAGCTCCTCCAGGGGAATCCCAAGGCGTTCCCTGGCCAGGTGAGAGACATAGTCCCTCCACCGTGTCCTGGGTCTACCTTTAGGTCTCCTCCCGGTTGGACATGCCCGGAAAACCTCACCAGGGAGGCGTCAGGGAGGCATCCTGACCAGATGCCCGAGCCACTTCAACTGGCTCCTCTCGATGTGGAGGAGCAGCGGGTCTACTCCGAGCCGCTCCCGGATGACCGAGCTTCTCACCCTATCTCTAAAGCCGGGCGTACACTGTGCGACTTTTTCACTTTTTTGAGCCGATTTTCCAGTCGTGCGAGAAGCCACGACATCGGGGCGAGTTTTGCGCCGAGCGGTCGTGTAGTGTACAGGGGGTTACGAGAGGCGATTAACACCACGTGACCAGCCGCCGATCAGCAGTCGTGAGGTCGCAGGGACTTCTGGTGTGTTTAATATTTCGCTCGTCCCTCGTGAGGGTATCGCACTGTTGAAGCGGCGCTGCGAGCAGCTACGATCCAAAAAGTATCAGAACCGCTCACGGCGCATGCGCGCGCAATCCTGCATCAACGCCGGCCGGTCGCTCGCTATTTCCCTAATAACACACGCTGTGCGTTTTTGTTTCTACACGTTTTTTTACTCACAAAGATTGTCAAGAAAGCGTGTTTGTCGTGTTCATGTCAAATTAAACTGATCAGAAAACACAGATTCACTTTCTTTATTTCGTTTTCCTCATCTAACCCCCATAAATCCCTGTGTGTCCTCCTGCAGCACTCCCGAAGGACAACAGGCAAGACAAAAAAGTCTGACGTGTTGTGTAAAAACTGCTATTTTTAGCACATTTTAGGGCCGACGTGTTGCTACCAGACGTACAGTGTGAGCAGTCAGGTCGCATGCGAGAATTGGGTCGTACAGTGTGAGCACATGACTCGTGAGATATGCTCTGCGAGGAAGTCGTACAGTTTGAGCTGAAGCTGAACGCTGCGAGTGAAAAAGTCGCACAGTGTACGCCCGGCTTAAGGGAGAGTTAGACACTGCGGAAAAAACTCATTGAAGCCGCTTGTATCCGTGATCTCGTTCTTTCGGTCTCT